GCAGGATGTTACGGCACTTCCGACGCTACGATACGACCAATGTAGAATGGCTTTAATATTTGCCTAAAACTACTTAGACTACATTCCAAAACTTTTCGAGGAAAATTTTACTCGAAATATATAGTACATGTAACATACACTGTAGTATATAAAGTAAAATCTTCCTTGGAGAAGTTTTAGCCTTAAAAAAGGATATTCCCCTAGGACTTCTTAAAACCTGGTTGGTATTACTATTGTTACTAGCACTAGTAACTTCAAGTGTTTCAGGTTTCGTGTTCGAGTCACACATCAAGATATTTCTTTCGCATGGGTCATGCGTAGCAAAATGGCCGCCTGACTCGAGTGAGTGAGTGAGTGACGTTTCTCGCAAGGTGTTTGCGTCTGCGATCGCGCCGCGCAGTCTTCGCGCATGAATATTCGCGCGTGCAAACGTGTACTGTTTTCGCAACGTGTCAAACGTTCATTTGCCTCACCCGCGCGGAAAGTGGTCGTTTGCGCGGCCGCAAATAAGTGCGGCTGCGTTCCGCCCGCACTGCTCGTCTCGCCGCAAACGGATTTAGGTGCGTATTAATCGCATTTGCGTACGTTCTCGCGGCGTATGGGCCGTTGACGTGCAACACTGGAACGCGCGTCGTCGATCCGCACCGATGATCTGTGATTTGCGATTTCCACACGTCCTGAGGGCTGAGACCCGCGCGCGCGCGCGCATACACACACACACACACACACACACACACATACACACATACGCATGCACGCACGGCAGCGAGAGTTTGGTTATACTCCGGACGTGATTTTTTTCTCCGTCACTTTCAGTGGGCGGTATTTAAATGACAGAACTGGACCGACGCGACATACCGCCGACTGATTTAAAGCCCACGTCTGTTTTCTCAATTAGAACGGTTGCTTTTCTAATCATGCACGTTAAGTTCTGATCTGCCGTGAAGAAAATGTCGAAAAAATGTTATGTGAATACATCCTTTTGTTTTGCGGATTTCTCTTATACTGCCATTCAATTTGTTTCTTAATTGTATTATCGAAAATATTTTCTTATTTAATAATTTTGACTAAAATAATGTTTAGATTGAAAGCATGTAAGATATTGCATATGTTAACAGCAGAAATTAATAAGAAATTTTATAATTTAGCTGTAGAGAGTTGTGAAGATTTCAACGTATTGAGCTAAACATAATTCAAGTTGTCTGCTTCACAACTTCAAATTTTCTCATTATTTATATAAATAAGTTTCTTTAAGTTTTTATAACAAATCAGATCAATTTTTCATATTTAATCTATGTTAGAATGTTCTAAGAATAGAAGCAAGTATTCTTTAGTTATTATAAAATAAGAAATTTACACATAATTTTACTTAGTTATTTTTACTGCAATTCAGAATAAGTTTCTTTATATAATTATCATAAGAAATTGTAAATATAATTTTTTGAATAATATTTCATATCAATGTTTTCCAATTTATGTTAATACATTAGTTAAACTTAAATTATTTTTTTGAATGTTTTCTAGTGTCAGAATTAAAGAGGATCAGTGTGCATTTATTTATATTTAATTTAATTTAAATTATATCATGTATTTACAGAGAGAGCTTATAAAAATAAAGAAATAGAAGTTAATCTTGCCAATTTGTGCTTATATCGACTCCCGAGAAGATTTCCTCATAATTTCACATTATATTTGGGCCAAAACGCTCCATATTTCTACTCTGACATTACGTTGACCTGGTTCAATTCGTGTCGAGAGGAGGATCATATGGGATGACCGAGTGATTAATGCGCCTGGGCCAGGCAAACTGGCCCCGGTCGCTCAGGCTCATGTGAACTCGGGCAATTAGCAATTGGCTAATTATATGGTTAACGGGCGATGAATAACACAGTTGCACGAGCGCGCGGCGCTTAATTGCGCGCCACAAATGGAAAGGCTCTTCCTTCCCAGTCGTGCATTTTTTCCACGTTCCTATTCCGCCAAATCACGGCCGAAACATACACGAACGATTTGCTTCCTGTGCTTTTTATCTAACTAAATTCAGTCTGAAAAGGAAATATCGCGGAAATATGCATTTTAAAAAACATTTTTAAAAAACAACTTGGTCGTTACGTGAAAGAACGATTTTATAAAGACGACCGTGTCGTACTTTTATCTTCTGGGTATGCGATTCATGTATTATTAATAATCTGTCAATATATGTATGTATACGCTCTTTTGAAAATATTCACAATATTGAATCTACTATTCATTTACTATTTGCCATTCTAGTCTTTTTACAATTACACAAGCTTTAATGTGTGTGATCCATAGTCATTTATTATTTTTGGATTCCAAAGATAGCATAATGCTTAAAATATTTAGAATAAATTTAGACATTAAGATAAAGAATTATTGTAAGTTTGTAGCTGATGATGCTTTTTGTTTTTGTTTTAGAGGGGCAATATTTTCGGAAGATGGATATTCGATGCAAAGCATAGGTATGCTTCCAAGATATTTCATCTTAAATTAATCCTTTTATTGCACCGTGAATTGATTGTCTTTAAGTGAGAGACAATGCAAGGAAATTAACCCGTAATTACAAACAGCGAACAGCAGAAATTTCGCATTATATTTCGATATTAGCAACGCCGTTCTATTTAGCGCCTACACTTTATATTAATGCAAAACGTTGTAGCGCGCTAGTGAGAGATTCGAGAAATGAGAAACAAATGCTGCTTTTTGTATTGACTTCAATTCTCCCTTTATACGAGAGTCAAGTACCGGGTGTTTGATCCCGCTATTCAGTAGTAGCGCTATTCGCGTTTCACGCATTCCACGATATGATCTACGTCGACACTCGACGTCGTTCTGGACAGCTCGTCTCCGTTTGCGTCGACGTTGCTAAGGGACGGGATATAAATGAAACGTGTGTGTGAAAATGGAAGATTTGAAAAATATAAAGGTAAATTAAAAGAGAAATAATAGATAAGAGCGAGAAGTAGAGCGATTTATGATCGAGATGTTATTCTTTTTAGAAGAAAGATATGTAAATCTTAAACACATGACAATGTCTGTCATTTATCTAATTTTATATATTATCTATTTTTAGATCGGTTAATAACATAACGTTTATTTTATTATTACATAATGAGATAGTTAACTTTGAGAAGTAATTAATTCAAAGTTAGGAGACAATAAAATATATTTTGTGGCTAGAAGGACAAATGAATTTACCTAAAATTACAATACTTTAGGAATTCGTGCCCGATGATATATTTATTTGTCGTATTGTATTGTAGAAAAGAAATTAATGAAGTAAAAAACGGATCTCCGCAGTCTCGTTTGTACATCAGTGAACTATCCGGGCTGTCAACGCGGCCAGACACGCAAGATGTCTCTTGCGGCTCATGTTTCGACACAAAAGTTTCCATCGCGCTTCGCGTGTTCGGAAGAG